GTAGGTGTAATTATTATGTATTCATACATTCACATTCACACTCTTTCTGGTTTTCTCAATCATTTTGACTTTTCTCGATTTTTTTCATAAAAAAAATCAACGTAATCAAAACAAAACTGTTTCTAGCTCTTTTTCCCTTTCGAATTCTGCTAGTCCCAGGATGAGTAATCAGAAACTCGAATCTCGAAGGACGTCCAAAAGAATTTTCTGAGTAATCCGACAACTTCTGACAACTCCATGGAAACCTGTTGAAATAATAACAGAACATTAGATTCTGAGTGATCGCGTGAAATAAATTGGAATAAGTCACAATCAAATACAATAAAATAAAGAAAAGATTAAATAAATTATGAAATAAGAAACAAACTAAAAGCAATTAATTGAAATAAAAATAAATAATGTAAAAATAGCTAAAACAGAAGAAAATAAATAAAATAGAATAAGTGCATGTACTGTCATTGGTGTGATGTGTCTCACTCTATTGTGCGTGAATGAGTGTGCTGTGGCTAGATAGAAGCAAATCCGAATATAGAGTTTATTAAAATTATATAAATTAAAATAAAATAAACTAAAAAACTTCAATATTGAACACATTCAAGTCTCTAAAAATATTTTCCTACTGTCGAATTTGTTCGTATTCAGCAAATCTTCGTCTTCGGATATCATAGAATCCTATTTATGGAACTAGACAGAACTCGAGGATGGAATTCATCCGAATTCAATGAATATTATGGGACTATTCAGGGATCCTATCTGATCAGGTTCGATGAACTTGCTCTAATGTTCACGAACAACATTCAATTGTTCAAAATCAGAAACTAGAGTAATTGAAAAAAGACAATATGTTGTGAAAAGTGTTTTATCGATATTCAAGTAAAAGTTCGCAAATTCATGGCATCGTAAATGTTCAATATGAAAAATAACTTGACTCGCTCGAGGTGTGAGTGTGCATGTTCGTTTCAATAATGATAGGGTGTGGGTGGGTGTGGGTGTGAGAAAAATATACACTCGCACCCACACCCCACCCACCCACTCCCACAGACCCACACCCCACACCCACACCCCACACCCACACCCACCCACCACACCCACACCCACACCCACACCCAGCCACCCACACCCACACCCA